AACCGGTAGCGTTGGAAATACGAGTCGACGGCAACAACTCTGCTAATGCGGGCCCCTATTTGATCAGCGTAGTCAAAGCCTTGGTTTATTTATTTTGTGTTAATTAACAGCTGTTTCTCCTCAAATAGGTTTTAAATTGAATATCATCCAGTTTGATGCTTGCGGCTGTGGCACGTTTAAATCTTCTTCTTGTATGATTCCGCAGGGAGGAGTTGAAATATATTTTTAGGGTATTGGCATGCCAATTGAAAGTACCATTCTGTACTCCAGAACACTACACAAATGAACCTAATTGTTGATAATAAATTGATAATATAATGATTTATGATCCAGAATAGGGTCACTAATTGGGTCCATCTTTACTCGCGGGTTTAGTTTTATGCACATACGTTTTAAATAACGTAGTCTGACCGGCTGTGTTACAGTTAATGATGGGTGTTGGTCTGCAAGTTGGTGAACTCATGTTGAATGGCGTAAGTTCACTTTTGGTGAAGACTAACCCAATAAGAGACTCTATGCTGGTAATTTATAATCCGCGATTACGCCTTACGTCCCAGGAACGCTTACCTTCTGCATTTTACCCTTGCATAGGCATATTGTTCTTCTCGTCTCTTCATTTTTCTCTTCTGTCCACTTTCATCTGGGCTGACATGGTATCCTGTAAGAATCTATTTCAGCGATTTTAATACTTATTTAACATGATATGTCCATAACAGCAGTGTTTTTTAATAGGTGACAATGATCAAATTAAATCAAATAAATAATAGCAAAGGTAGTAACAATGAAACACCTTGAATGGTAGTTAAGTCAAGCTCGTAAATTCCATTCAAGGGTAAAGTTATTCGAATCTCCTGATGCGTATCGAGCCGAAGTGTTAATGGGAGAGGAAAGGAAGCCGGTTTGTAAACAAAGGCTTAGGTCATCCATACTACGCCAATATTTGATGTTTACTTGTTAATTGTTCGTTACCGGTTTTCGGGCCTTTGCTTTTGTAGAAATTATCAGGGTTCGACTGACTAGGAACGAGGCCTAACCAGTAAATAAATCTCATCACGAATATGGATTTGTTCTTTCCGATTTGTCTGTTACGTAAAAAGGGTTTTATTGTCTTTTTTATAAGGTCGTGACGGCCAAATTTCATAAGAATTTATGTTATTTAACGTAATTATTGATATTTCTTATTAAATTGGTAACAATATTCCTGTTTGGAATGTTTGTCATCATTACTCGATTAAGGATAGGCCATGCGAGTACGGGCACTGGTTGGTACTTTCTTAGATCTATCGAAGACACTTGACCATAATATGTTGATGGCTAGGAAATAATTTTTCTTTTCCACAATATGCGATTATTTCGACAGACGCGTTTCGGTATAGNTTAAACATATTAATAATAATTTTATAATAATTATATATATACTAACATATCTTCAGAGTCTAAATAATAAAAGTTGTACAAATCATTATATACAGGTAATTACATAATTAAATTTGGTGTAAACTAATAATAATGAATATACCAAAATGCAATAGTTATACTTAAAACTACTTTAAATTTACATACTTTTTTTTAAATGTATGTACATTTAAAGCAGTTCTAAGTATTACTAATACATTTTGGTGTATTATTAGCTTACATCAAATTTAATTGCGTAATCACCTGTATATAATAATTGTTATATAATTTGTACCATTTTTGTTATTTAGTCACTGAAGATGGTGTATATTAGACGCGTCTGACGAAATAAACGCCTATTGTGTAAAAGTCAATTTATTTCCTACCCATCAACTTATGGAGTTTATAACTTATAACCACAAAATTAACTTTATGAAGAAGCTTGAAAAATGTGGTATTGGTAGTTCAGTAAGAGTTCCCGGTGGCACTGTCAAATCATTTCCAGCTATTAATAACATAGATGTTTCTCAAGGCAATGTATTTGGCGCATTCTTGTTTAAGATTTTTGTTAATGATCTCCCTAACTTCGTTAGAGATGCTGACTGCCTTATTACGCTGATGATTCCAACTTTGTTGTAGGTTCGGACTCCATTGAGGATGTTCTTGCTCGTACGGTAGTTCGAGAAGGCGTCTACGTGGTTTTCATTAAATCAGTTGGAGGTCAATTACTCTAAGTCAAATTGCAAATATTCCATAATATTAGCAAAAACTCCGTCCCACACACTTACTTTTGGGCCAAATACAGCGTATGTGTCTAGCATGTAGAAAAATGTTCTCAATGTTCCCCGCTTAATGGAATGATTCCACTCCTTGGCTCCATATATAGAGCGTGTAGGAATACCACTCGATATGAAAATTGTTCTTCAACGCTCAGCAAGTATCTGGGACCCCTGTTACAATTTTTAGAAGAAACAGGACTCTCTTACTATGGATGCGACTGTAATGTAAATAGTACTTTTAAATACACACTACATCTCGTATTGTGTTTCTTAGTGAGTATTGAGAATGAATGTATTTGTTATCGTGAATGTGTAATGTGAGACGGCAGTGAGCGGAATATTAAATACTTCATTGGACCTCAATTAGATGGTTATATACTATGTGTAGAGGATGATAAAGGAATGTCAAGTGCTCCACCTCCCTAACTGAGTGAATGGTATGTAAATAAGTGATGTATTTAAGAGGGAGATGTGGATGGATTTAGGAACCGATTGCGATGTGGCTTTAAATGGCCTAGCTGTTGATAGCCTCTGGAGTCCAGCTACGGTGGCTGTATGGTGGCGGTATAAAACAGAGGTCTGAACCGGATAGCCAACACCCTGAGTAGGTGATTCAAGAAGCCTGCGGTAATTTATTGTAAAGTACAAAACCTGGAACTTCCGGTGGACTGCACGAAGTACGCTATGAAGATATGAGCTTGTTTAATAATAATGTGGAAACTTTTCATTAGTGGGGACGAACAAATTAGACTGTGTGTCCAGTCAGAATGTTACTCGATGTAGAAAAATCTACAATATACGATGGTTCAATTTCGTCTTTATAAGTGTTTTTGGATTCAAATAAGGTTCCGAATGTCATGGTACAGAATCAGTCGCTACTGATAGGACCATTAATAGAAAAACCTAAGAGAAAAGGATACGCACTTTCGGCAAAGTTATGATTCTGCATTGCATTGGCTGGGATGTGGAAGCCAGTCCCACACAGTCGGTGACATGCATGTCTAAGTAGAGCTACCGTCTGCAGGTGTGTAAAACGTGTGATGAATGCAGACAATACTCGGTTATTTTGTGCAATTATTGCATGGCCACAAAAGGTCACCACAATTATAAATGGGGTTTTCAGCATGGCCCATTTTCCTCACGTATGTGGAATAATAGATGGATCACTGATTGATGCGCCGGTTTAAAACGAAGCGGCATTTGTAGATCAGCAGTGAACCCATGCCATAATTGTGTTTGCTTCTGGACCTAGAGCAATGTTCTATTTGGGAGTGCGAGATAGCCGTGAAATATTGAAAGAACGACTCACGTTCCTTCGCAATAGTTGATTTCATCGTAAAATGGAAACACAGATTATTTTACCCAAATGCAGTGATTCTAGAGGTTCCGGATATCCTCTGATGTCGTGGCTCTGGAAATTAATGTGTTCCATTCCTGGTTATCCTTCCTAACCGAACAAGCTGTCTTGCTGTCTTATACTTTTGTAGTTTTTAACTTGTAGTATTAGTGAGGCCATCTCTATTATGAAACAGAAAGTCTTGGTGCGTATTCTTTGGAGTTTGTGTATTATTATATTTTAACTAATACTATTAGTAGCATTATGAAATCGGCTCCAGGTTGTCAACAACATAATAGACACGAAACATAAATTACATATACGTTACCACCCTATACAAACATATGTCTGGTCTAGATGCCCCCCCCCCGAGCAGGAAACGTGGAATTGTCCTTACCCCATTACGAATAGGTCATATGCTGTTGAGACATTGACACCTGGTCATGGGTCGAAGCCCGCTCAGGTCCGCGTTATGCAGAAAAAGGTTGCACGATGTGGCTCACATGATAGAAGTTTTCATGTCTTGGCTCCTTGCAGAGAGCGTGTAGGCATACCGCCAAAATTAACAGTTGTTCTCGAGCACAGTGGCGAATAGCTGGATCCCTGTTCCGCTTTTCTTCTTCTTTTTTCCGATTTTTCATTGTATGCGGATCTGTGTTTGCTTGAGTGCCTGTATTTATTAGTGTGAGCGATGAGGAGCTGATTATTAACCTGTGTATAAGTCGATAAAAGACTATTTAGTACTCCACCGACTAATCAAAATGAGGGCAATGTATGAATGTATTTATACGCATGAATGTATTCATTTGTGCGACTGTCTTATCAAATACAGATAATTTTAGGCTATATTATAGTCTGCATGCGTTGGGGACTGAAATGACCTAGCTGTCAGGTCGAAAGTCCCAGTTGGAGCCTGTTGGTTGGGAAGCGACGATCTCCCTCCTGGGTATCTGACTTACGGGGGAAACTGACCCAGCCGCATAATGGGGTAAATGAACTCTCTTTGTGATAGACCCTAGGGTCAGCAAATCAAAGAGTGACAACCCTTCGGGGTGAAAGTCCGTTCAAAGAAGTCAGGTCACATTCACTCCCCCAGGGTACTCGATATTCTTGAGCTTATAAGTCAGTAATCAGTAGCCATGTAAGAGTAGAAATCTGTAAGTACAATCGCTAGCCGTCTTATTTAATCGTTTACAAGTTGAAATTTATCTAGTTTTTCCTCTGTTATTCTATTTATTATCTGGATATAATTGATATAGTTTTTTAAGTTTTTAGTATTATAGATTTTTATTAAAAATCCTTGATTAACGTGAAGTAATTTTCTTTTCGTCAAACAATTAATACCTGAGCCTTGTTCCCTATTGTGATATATGTACTTATCGAGCAGGAAAATATATTTATTCAGCCTACTATTGACTAAATGGAGAAATATAATTATGTAACTTTAGTATAATACATTTTTAATTAATACAATGTCATCTCTGTTTTAGGGGAAGAGTTGCTCTATTAGTATGCGCCATGAAATGTACTACAAAGGTAAAGTTTATGATCCGCCCTTTGATTTAAGTTTGTAATTAGCCGAGAAACGAGAGTGGAAAGTACTTTCGGTCGGTTATTATAAATGGAAATTGATTAATATATTGGTTATTCTGGTAGCGTTAACGATCAATCAGCTCGACCTCGCCCCCCTCATTTCTCCGGCTAAAACAAGTTTGCTTAAGGAATCTCTGTTTCATTCATATGCTATTTGTTGCGATAGCAAACACATGGAGGGAGCCCGACCCACTCTACTTGTGAATCGAACGTGACCTCGACATCGGGAATGTTAAAAGATTGCAAACCACTCTTCCCGTATTAACGTTTCATTTTATACACACATGTGTATGTATAACTTCTTTTCCTATTCTTTAACACTAAAGTTAGCAAAATCAAAGGTTATATCGTCAATTAAATTAATAAATTCTGAATGCTGTTAACCCTTGCACAATCTTCAAATCGGAATTTCACCTGAAATATTGCATAATTTGACGAAATAAGCGATTCCTGATGTTATGTACTTAGTTGATTCTTGTTAAGACTTATTTTAAAAATCGCTTTTGATCTGAAAACATATTCTGATTTTGCAGTCCAATCAAAAAAATTAAAGTCCATTTGGTACTTGAGAACGACCGAAACTCAGTATTAAAGCAATATACTTCTTATAAATCCCCTGATAGTAGGGTGTTAATAATCGAATTATAAAGCTTAACTGCAAATGGTAGCTAAAGCTTTTATATGTGTAAAATATGTATAAAAAAAGAAGTGTTACCATGTGATCATATAAGTATTAGCATGTGAATAACTTTCCAAACATGTTCGCTAAATGTATAAATGAATTAAATTTAAAAAAACCGCTTTTGTTAATTATGTCAATGAATTCTACGTACTTTAGAAAATTTCTGGTTATTGGTAAAAGATTATTTACAAAAAAAAGTATGTAAGGAAAAAATACTCAAGTTGGTGTCTATGTAAAATTTAGTTGTAATAAAAGTCGTTTATAGGAATATGTGTTTTTGTTTTTAAAGCAAGGTAGGCGTGACTGGACTATCCTTTAGATGTATTGTTAAAAATATATGACCAGTATGAGCTAAGCCAGTTTGTTAATTGGAATTTTTGGTGTATGCGTTGTACTTTCAGTGAGAATTACTATAAAATTTAAAACCATATTGGAATAATAACAAACTATTAAAAAATATATTCAGACATAAAAACCAAACTGTTTCAATATAGTAATATCCAATATGATATTAATTTCACTAATTTCTTTTAACGCTGAAGAGAATCAACCCAATCATTGTTTTACAGCATGTTCTGAAATAGTAAATAGCTCGATTTGCTCAAATATTTTCCATTGTCTTTGTTTCTTTATTTTAAATGACCTTATACGTATTTTAGTACAGAAAAAATATACTAAGTACATTATTTTTTAAATATTGATATTTTCTCAACGACAAAAACATACAGTCTGTAAAACAACTATTGGTTTGTTGTCTTGTTTTAATAAGATTATTAAGATATGTACACACAAAATACACAGACACTCAAACACACCTTCGTAGATTGATTTGTTTTCTATTGATATATTTTTATGCTATAGTACATGTCATCAGAACTGATTATAAAATAGATGTCATTGTAATACTTTCCAAGAAAAAGAAAAAAACTACTGTCAATGGCCATAAATGTGTAACACGCTAACAACTATACTTGGTTATTACCATTAGAAAATAAGTTAACCATTCGTAAGATTTGAAGGACTTGAGAAAAATGAAATATTGCAAATAAATTTTATAATTTTTACTCTAAGATAATATACATATTGTTTCAGTTAGATTATATATTATTATAAATAATATATGATATTGCTAAATAAATAATGAACTATATTATTATACTTTCTTATGTTGGAAACCCTAATAATGTTATAATTAAATCAAATTTGTCGCCTAGAACGCAAGAAATTATATACATGTTAATAAATAAAGTTTTGTTTTTTAAATTGTAAAAATATTTCATTAAATTTCTCTAAGACAAAAAAACGTACAAAAATTCTTGTTAAAACTCGCGCTTTACATTCGCATTTATTCTCCCACTAACAGAAAAACATGCAGCCACGGATATGTAACCTAACTTGTCTTTAACCATAGCCCTGCCTAACCTAACCTGACTAGTATCCGACCTAACCTAATCTAACTTAACCTGTCCATAACCTAACCTAGATATAATATTCGGTGTGTGTAATATACTGCGCCCTTTGAGAGCTGTATCTAACTATATGTATCTAACCTAACGTATCCCGTCCCTAACCCTAACCTAACTAATCCGTCCCAAACTCTAATCAAACTGGACTTAGGTTGTGGACAGACCTAATCTAGATGTAATATTCGGGGGCTGTAGTACACTGTGTCCTTTGCGATATCTTGTATGTAACCTAACTCGTCTACCATAACGATAACTTTAACCTGACACTAACCCAACACGCCGGACGGCAAAGCAAAATCGATGACACGAATATGATCACGCAAAACAAATGCGTGTACAGCCCCAATAGATGTCCACGTTGAGTTACATGGCGTTATTGTGTGAAGTAAAAAGTTCTAAAATTGGTTATTTTGTCTAAAAATCCCAGTTAAAAAAAGCTCATACGACCTAATGCAAAACAAACGATTTTAGAGCCGAACCGGCGGTTTAAATTTTATTGGGTTGTTTCCTATGAAATGTCCCTTTTAACGGTAAAGGTTGCTTAATAAAATGTAAGTCATATCATTCAAACCAATTTTGTATACCCTTTTCCTCACTTCTAAACCGATTCTTTAATTCCAGTACAGAAAAATTCAGAGTTTGAAGAGAAAATAGACAGAAAACGCTTTCTGAACTTGTAAATCGTTTTTATTTAATGAAGTTGTCCAATTCCCGTTTCAAGAAGAAAACCTGTCATGCGGGTGCGGTCGTAGGTCAGCTACTTTAATTTATTCACAGCCTCCCTTGAAACAGGGGACGTTGTAGTGTATGAGTACATAACTATTTTGATTTACCTCTAGTGAAAAAGTAATAATGAATGACTTCAGCCATACGGTGAGTGTGACCTGTTAAGAAAACCCAGCAGTTTGAGGCTTCTGGCTGTGATCATTGGCTGCTGTTCCAAACATTCAAGAAAAGTCTCTGTTTTTTGTCTACTAAAAAGGTAGTTGCAGCTGAGTGAGCATCGCAAACTCATAAAGAGAGCTGTTTGGTTTTTCCGACGTTCTTAAAGTGTGTCGAAACTGTGGTTCACTATTCTATTGTGTTGAAAGTTCTCTGAAAGTTCGATAAGGATTTTCGTCGATAAGCGTGACGCTTTCCACGGGACCGGTTTTCCGATTCTTCACAAACTTACCAATTTATCCATTCGTTACTACTCTTCCCTCCAAACACCATAGTGTTATTTCATTCAGTCAGAGCTGAATTAATATAAAAGAAGATAGAAAAAAATCGCGTGTCTCGATGTTCATATTTTAAGGTTATACTAGAGATTTTAATTATTTGGGAAACTAATCAATATAAACAAAGCATAAATTATTAATAACTGCTTATTATCTTGGAGTTACTCCTCTTTACTTCCAATATCATTATAGTAAGTGCGTCTACAGCTAATGTGGAATATAACAGCATTTGCGCTGGCAGAAAGCCAAACTCAACATGTTCAATGATGTCTCTAGATCTGTGCTATCCAATGCATGCCAAGTTTGGGGATATCAATAGTATGACGTAGTTGAGAAATTTCTGAAAATTTTTAACAAAAATTTTTTTTGGCCTCCTCTCCTCAGCTCATAGGTACATGTTCCATTTAGAGTCATCCACGGAGCTATAAAAAGGGTATCCACACTGAGCCTTCACTTTAAGTATGTCCTGAAAAATCTTAATCTGTCTGATTCCCGTCATCCAAACATTACTGCCCTTGTGATTATAAAACACAACATGTTTTGGTTCTCCCACAGCTGAATTTTACAAATATTCCACCCCACATAACTTAATTAATAATAATATCTCTGAAAGGAAACCTAATCTTGATTCTCTTTTTAAAAGAGCAGGGTACGTTAGGGGGAGGACTCTGTGAGGCAAGCTGAGACATCGACTCGTTTTCAGCTTCATAGGGACCTCGATCATACAGTTTCCACCGTCATTTCTTGTCTGATACTAATCAGTATCTGAATATGGGCGATTGCCCGTGGGTTATTAAAATGAGGTTTGAGCTTCTTTGGCTAAATTACACCCCTGGAAAAATGGCCTTCTGCCCTGTGCTCTCTACGTAATCTCATAAGGTGTTCCAATTCATAGCAGAATACACAATTTTAAAGGTAATTGGTATGCTACTCCTAGTCGACATTTCCCTGTGTAGAGATGACTGAGTTAAACTCTGAACTGACTGCACTTGTAAAATATTGGAGACATGCACGGCAATTCAGTACATTTACGTTAAAGTAATATTTGGTTTGGGTGCTCATACTATAAACGCTCTATAAGCTCAAGAATATCACAAGCACTTTAGGGGTGATCTGACTATATGAATGACTATATTTATTGAATGAATATATATTTCTCCACCAGTCCCTCACCAATCACCCTCATAATTACACTCAAACAAAGCACATAAAACAACAATATACAATATAAAATGAATGTCCTTTATAAAGAGGAACAAGGGACCCAGAAACTCGTAGCTGTGCTCGAGAAACATTCCTAAATTCCGTGGCATGCCTACTCGCGCTCTGTAAGGAGAAAGGCATTGACAAGCTTGTATTACGTGGGACACATCGAGCAACCTTTCTTTGCCGGCCAAGGGGCAGGCGACCGTGTGTCAGCCGCGTTTGACCTATTCTTAATCGGGTAAGGACGATTCCTCGTTTCCGGCTCAGATTCTCAAGGGGCCATGTCGTGCTATTGACATTCAAGATCCTCTCAGACAACCCGTAAATTATTATTATTATTATTTTTATTATTATTATTAAAAAGATTATTAAACATGTTGGTATTAAATAACAGAAAATCAATGAATCTTATATTCATTTCTAAAATTATAAAAACTGACATTTCATGTGAAAAAAAAATTAGTTTCTGACTCTTAAACTTTTAATTGTGTGAGCTTTAAGTTTACAAGAGTTGTTGCAACAAGTTTTAATGTATTATATACATTAAAATTATTACGTTCTGCAATAGATATTTGTTATATGTTCATATAAAAATAATCACGTTTATTTGTCTTTGCATAATGTATCATAATACATCCTTCCTTGTCGTCTATGGCGTTAAAGTCTCTGCGAATTATTAAATTTTTTTAAAGGACTTGCAGCTTTTCCACTGATAAATCCAAAACGACTTTTCTTACGCCCCTCAAATGTATGCGAATGGTGAACAGATTTTCGTATAAACTGGAGAATAAATAAAATGGCTAGTAGGTAACAAGACAAGAGAATTCCTCATTGTGGAGTGCACTTCCATTCTATTTTAGAAGTGAGCTTTATTCTTAATGGTTTATTGTTTTCACAGACTTGCCTCATAATGTAGGCTTAACGTTATATAGCTCATGCTCCCTGCTATCCATAGGATAAGTGTATCATTTAAGAGCTGAGTTATAATAAATGAAATTGTTTTGTCAATTTACAAGTGTGTTTTATTATACCCATTACCCATTATTCTATTAGCATGTACAGATTTATAAGTATGATGTGGTCGTTGTTATTCTACTTCAAATTGTAACAAGTCCATTTTGAAAGTTTAAAAGAAACGCTATTAATAGTAGGGCAGGAATAGTGAAATAATTTAAAACTTTATGGCCCAATGTTTTCTTAGAGCAAGACAAATAGTAGCAATTTGATTAAAAGGTTATAGGGAAATCTCTTAGGGTTTAGATTTGCGTCAAATACATCAATGTTGCCAATACACGGGCATAAGCAGTACAGGAATAACACTGCACCTCCTTAAACTCATTGGATTTTCTGCTAACCGTAAACAAATTTGCTAATGTTGGCATTGTTCTAAAGCAGCTTTGCGCAAGAAAAACATAAATTTGAAGCTAGATATGAAAAATTATATGCTTGGCAAATATACCAATCGATACAAGATGCTGTGGTATATTGTATATAGGGTGATGTTGATAGATTCAAAGATGGAGATTTTAGATTGGCTCAAAAAAATCAGTGTTGCCAATACATACAACATTGAAGGAAAAACGCTGCGCCCGCCCTAAACTCATGGGATTAGCTAAGCTTTAGCTAATTTTCAAATTTTAGTGTTGCCAAGAACATAAGATAATTCTTTATTAGTTGAGAAACATAATGCTTGTATTTTACGACCGTTTAATATAAATGTCTTTAAAGTAAGAAAATCTGTCAATTTGTCAACATTATGCTAGAATAATGTTTGGTCCAAGGATATATTGCGTAACATACCTGTTAAGATAAAAGGGTTCATGAGATTCTATGAAAAGGATGTGTCGATTGTCAAACTAAGTTTGTCACAGAATGTAAGTCGCCTATTATAAAAGAACAACTGCAACATATGTACGTGGTTTTGGAAAGAAGGTAGATTTATTGCACTGCGTCCATCAGGTAAGCGCTCCTTGACATGTGAGTTATCCAAGTCCAAATAGAATTTATCAAAAGAAGTCCTTTAAAAAATTCCGAAAAAATAATAAATAAACTCGAACTTACAATTACTTACAAATTTAAGTACAGCAGTACCTTATAAAAGTAAGACGAACCAACCTAGTTCGTTGTTCATCGTAACTGTTTGTATGTCCCATCTAAAGGGCAGATCA